CAGTATACCATGGCGTGCCAATCAGGTTGGTGTGTGTGTGCGTGTTTTTGTTTAACTACCCTTGTGGTACCAGAAGTCCTCACAAGGATAGTAGGAACATTCGGACAAGTGGGGACATTTTGCCGGTCCCCATGAGAAAAAATGCTATTTTAGGCTTAGGGGTTAGGTTTAGGTTTAGGGTTACAATTAGGGTTAGGGTTAGAATTAAGGTTAGGGGTTAGGGTTAGGAGTTAGGGTTAAGTATAGGTTTAGGCTTAGGGGTTAAGGTTAGGCTGAGGGTTAAAGTTAGGGTTATAGTTAGGTTAAGGGTTAAGGGTTAAGGTTAGGGTTAGATTTAGGGTTAGGGGTTAGGGAAAATAGGATTTTGGATGGGAATCAATTATTTGGTCCCCACAAGGATAGCAATACAAAACTCTCTGTGTGTGTGTGTGTGTGTGTGTGTGTGTGTGTATGTGTGTGACGTGTGCATGTGTATGATGCATGCCATTGAGATAAAATGGTACATGAGTACGTCAGTACATGTGTGCATGCTTACTTGTGTTTGCCTACCTGTGTTCTTTCGAAGTTGCTCAGAGAGGCGTTCATTGACGGAACACTGTTTCCTTATGCCGGAGCACAGACCTGACTTTCTTCTCTCAGAGCAGCTGATAAAGTCCCATGTCCACCTACCGACCAGCCCACCTTTACAAGACCCCTGGAGTCGTTAACCACAGCATTTCTCACATACCTGCATGTGTGGTGCTGCAATGCACAGTGCTCTCATCCTCTGAAAGAAGCCTTGTGACTGAAAGAAGCCTTGTGAGTTTGTTTTATATGTCCTCCAACACCAAAACACAATAAATCGGGTCCAATGGTGCATGATCACTCAGTGTTAAACAACTTAAGAACTGAGTTCTCTTCTAAAATACATTTGCACCTGAGGACAAAAATAAGGTGAACCAAATCCAATACCAATCAATGCTGCAGAACACAGAGCTTTTTCCTCATGCTTTTAAATGCACCACTAACTGATACAATCCGTTTCCATTAAGATGGCTACATAATCCCAAAATGCTAGCCAGGAGATTCTGGACTTTGCTATTAACCAGCAAACTAATTTTAAAACGGTTTGGAGGAACAACCACACACAAGGGAAGTCAAAAATAAGCTTAAACTACAAAAACGTCCACTATCCCTTCAAGGAGGTGATTATTAATGAACCCCAGAACCCTTCCTTCCCCTCCATCTCTTCCTCTCCTTATGCAGGGTTGCCATATGACTTCACCTGATGAGCAACACAGGCATCCATTGAAACAGAAAGGAACTTGTCACACCAAGCCCCAGTATTGCCGATCGGCCCCCCTAAACTTGACTATGGCCTGGGGATCTGTAATGGTATATTTATGCCTGAGGTGCTGCTATGCTTTCAATGGGGATGATTGGCTGTGATGGATGGAATCCCATAACCATCGCAGACCCTTTCCTCCATCTTAAGAGCTCTGTGTTGGAAACTTCAGAAGCTCAGACTGGCTCTGCACAGGAACTGCAGGGGTCTCGATGACATGGGACCCCTGATGAAGCCTTCCTCTGGGCTCCAGGGCCAAAGAATCAAAAACACAGGCCTGTCAGCCCCATCTCTCTGTGTAGCCAGAGAAGATTATCAAGGATAACCAATGTAAATGCCTCTTTGTTCCGGGTCGGATAGGTAACATGTTGTATGTGTTAGCCAAGGGCCACGAAAAACTGGGCCATGCCGAGCAAACTCATAAAAACTATAACAAGTGGTTGAATTGGGGTATTGTGAGTGGTGGATGTAACCCTTAAAAGGTTTATTGCCTTTGTCATGGCAATGCTAACAGAAATCACTCCCACAACCCATTTCCTTGCGCTATGGTGATGGAACCATAGAACAAAAATTCATGAAATAGAACTTTATCTAGTTAGATGAACCCTTATTGTCGTAGTCAGGGGTTAGATTGGAGGGAGTTGGGTTTTACACCCATATATTTCTAATCTTCCCTTTTTTGACAGAAACAAACATTTGACTGGTCCCATGAAAGTTGAGAGGGAAGAATAAAAAGCCCTTTTGGCTGTCTTATCTGTTGGTGGTTGTGTCTGTTACTCATGAAGTTTGTTCCTGCTTTTCAAGCATTGAACGGCACTTCCTCCACCCCTGAGATACCCACTGGATAAGGTAAGGGGGTGTAGTCTACTGCTAGTGTCTGCATTCATCAACTGGACAGCTCAGATGGCATTTGGTGGGAACTCACACACTCTTAAGAGCTGTTGTATTCTCCAACTACCACAGTGGGATGTGAACAGTAGATAGCAGAAATACAGCCAGCCAGTTCCAGTCTTTGAAATCCAATGGTGGGCACCATCTCTGCCAGTTAGCTGACTGATAGGTTTCCACAGAGAACACAGTAAGCCAGCCAGTGGTACCCAGGGACTATGCAGAGTCTGGAGAAATCAACCAACCAATCAGAGACATGGAGGGGAGCGTGGCGATGGGAACTGCATCTATAATGAGCTTCCTTGTCCTGGCCTGACCCACTGTGTCACAGTGTGTAACACCCCTGGCCTGGCCCACTGTGTCAGAGAGTGTAACATCCCTGGTGAGGGCAAATAGAAAACATATGTGTGGCGTTGGGCCACGGTGGGACCACTGAAGGGGCTGATAACAGAGGCTCTTTGTGAATAGAGGGTTGGAGGGGGTGAGAAGTGCTAGGGAAGGTGAGTTATAAGTACCAGGGCCTGGCAACAAACATACCTCTGCCTCTCCTTTCTATCATGGAGTCCATCTGTCTACAGCACCAGTTTATAAAACACATTTGTGTTAGTCATGTTTTTGATCAAGTCACTGTTGGCCAGATCTAGCATACTAGTGGGGCATTTATTTGACATTTCAGATCAACACTCCAATCTTATTCGAAAACCTTTTTGGACTTTGTTAAGAGTCCGGAAAAGAGTGAGTGGAGATTTTCATTGCGTACCACTGGTGTTTGAGCAAGAGGGTGTGCTCTCTCTCTCTCTCTCTGCATCTTCGGCTCGGTCAAAGAGGAGCCTTGTTAGCGCAAGTTGTTGACCTTGCTGTTTATAAAATGCCCTTTTCATAAGCAGCATAGAGGTCCACTGTGACCCCACATAGCCCATACTAGCAACAGGCGGTGTTGGCAGCTAGCAGGCCTGTTTGCCATAGAGGGACTGGCATGGCCGTACACACCCAGACGAGTCTGGTCCCACAGGAGAGGCTCAGAGACAGAGTCCCAACTCTGACGTCAGCTCAGCCACTGGGCCTTAGATGAGGAGCAGGCCACAGTCGGTTCAGTGTCCTGACTCTCCTGTCCTGAACAAGGGAGGTTTCACAGATCACACATGCTGAACCAGTGCGGGGCGGGGCTGAGGTTTGAACCAAATGCTGTATCTGTACATGTGTAGACTGTACTATCTGGTAAACATTAGAGCAGGTTTGGTGATGTTACGTAAGCCAATCATATCTCTCCCTGGAACATAAATAAACTCTAAAACCATTAGACCTTTTCAGTGTTTTCAGTCAGACCTGGGTTCAAATCATAGACATATGGTTCTTTCAAATACTTTGAGCGTTTGATGAAGCCTGCCTGGAGCGCCAGGTGGGTGGGGTTTGCACTGTTGGTCTTTTCTGTTGGTTACATCACAATACGCAAACTCAATCAAGCAAAGATAAAGTATTAGAAATTATTTCCATTCGTTTTTGAATCGAGGTTTGTTTTCAGTTGGTGCCATTAATCAAAAAACAAAGTAGATGTTTGATCTACTAACCCGTGTTAGCTGTCTAGCTTGTATCCTCAACTTCCAGCTTTCTCACATTCGTTAGTAAAGGGAGGAGAGTACTTTGAAAATGTTTATTTCCAAACTGTTCCAACCCCCAATCAACTACTTTGTGTAGGTGGAGTTCATAATAGAGGCGGGTACATTGACTTCCATTGGTTTTGATTAGAAATTCAAACGCTAAAGTTAGTGGTTGGTGACAGAGAAACAAACCCAAAGTGTGGATCACAGTCTCTCTTTGTCCAGAGACTGTTTCAAGGAAAGGAAACATGAGTAATTTTGTAATTTGGGTGAACTATCCCTTTAATTCTTAACTACAAATACATGCAGTATTTCTACATATTTAGTCTCTCTCTGTCAGATAATAGAACCATATTTTGCTATTAACTGTTTTTTTATTGAGTAATACAACCATCATTGAAAGCTTGAATATGGGTAATTGAATAAGTGTAATGCTTCAGTTGTTGTAATGAAGACAATTGCGCATTTTAAATGTTGCTTTCATGTCCACTTTAATGGTGATTGTTCATTACATCATTCATTAAAAAACTAAGTTAATTTCATTACCAGTCAATCATTCAACTTTACAAAGCAGTTCAACTAATGATGTCAACCCATTATTACTGTAACTAGAAGTTTTTTTTAACGAGATATATTACAATTACAATTGTTCTGGTTTTTATAACAGGAGAGGAGCACTTATAATGAGAAACCATATATGTTAGGCCTACAGAATGATACAAGATGCGACATATATTATCTCCGGCCTCAGTCACCACCATTATATTTATGTCCACTAGATGGCAGGCGTGTATCAGCTAAAAGTAAGTCAGGTAAGAACACTGACGCATACATTATCTGGTGATTATGATTCAAAAGGGCCCGTCAAATGGCACAGTGAACGTCTATGTCTCCAGCCAATATAAGTGCATTTGGTTGACAGGTAAAGTACATAATAAAGTAAAGGAGAGTAGCGCATACCGCCTACCACAGAGTCAGATTCACACCTTTTACATGTGGCTTAGACTTTACACCTCTTGAATGAGCTGAATTCTTTGGAAACAGAGAGATGGACGACAGAGAGACCGACTACTGAACCACAGTGTTTTTTCCACTAAAGTTCAGAGAACACAGGCTGTGGTAAACTGAACAAATTCTGGAGAAAAAATTACACAGAAGGTATGGAAAAACAGACAGTTTATCAGCTGCCTTTAAAGCATGTATCGAATACAGAGAGAGGATCCAAACACTGAGATTATGGGGGTGAAGATCAGAGTGACGAACCATGGTAGATCTACCCCAACCACAGTAGAACCCTGATCTGAAAACACAAACCATGTATTAGACAGAGTCAGTTAGTGGACCACAACATCTAGGTCCTTACCAGCTCCCTACTGTGGATCACAACATGTTGGACAAAATAAATCACAAAATTATGGGAACTCCTATCAGATCACACTAAAACAACAGTAAGTGGACCACAACATTGACAGTGCCTTCAGAAAGTATTCACACCCCTTTACTTTTTCCATCATTTTGTTGAGTTACAGCTGAATTTAAAATGGATTAATTTGAGTTTTTTGTCACTGGCCTACACACAATACCCCATTATGTCAAAGTGGAATTATGTTTTTCAAAATTTAGAACCCTTATTGGTTCCAAGTAGAACCCTTTTGAGTTCCATGTAGAACCCTTTTCACAGAGGGTTCTCCTGTGGGGACAGCCAAATAACCCTTTTGGAACCCTTTTTTCTAAAAGTGTAGTGTTTAACATGATTATTGAATGACTACCCCATCTCTGTACCCCACACACACAATTATCTGTAAGGTCCCTCAGTCGAGCAGTGAATTTCAAACATAGATTCAAACACAAAGACCAGGGAGGTTTTCCAATGCCTCACAAAGAAGGACGCCTATTGGTAGGTGGGTAAAAAAAAAAGGGCAGACATTGAATATCCCTTTGAGCATGGTGAAGTTATTAATTACACTTTGGATGGTATATCAATACACCCAGTCACTACAAAGATACAGACGTTACAACCGCTCAGAGATTTCACCATGAGGCCAATAGTGACATTAAAACAGTTACAGAGTTTAATGGCTGTGATAGGAGAAAACTGAGGATGGATCAACAACATTGCAGTTACTTCACAATACTAACCTAATTGACAGAGTGAAAAGAAGAAAGCCTGTACAGAACTTGCATCCTGTTTGCAACAAGTCACTTAAGTAATACTGCAAAAAATGTAGCAAAGCAATTAACTATGTTTTGGGGCAAATCCAATACAACACATTACTGAGTAACACTCTCCATTTCTTCAAGCATAATGGTGGCTGCATCATGTTATGGGTATGCTTGTAATCATTAAGGACTGGAGAGTTATTCAGGATAAAAAAGAAATGGACTGGAGCTAAGCGCAGGCAAAAACCTAGAGGAAAACCTGGTTCAGTCTGCTTTCCACCAGACACTGGGAGGTTAATTCACTTTTCAGCTGGACAATAACCTAAAACACAAGGCCAAATCTACACTGGAGTTGCTTACCAAGAAGACATTGAATGTTCCTGAGTGGCCAAGTTACAGTTTTGACTTAAATCTACTTGACAATATATGGCAAGACCTAAAAATTTGTCTAGCAATGATCAACAACCAATTTGAAAGAGCTTAAAGAATTTTGGAAAGAATAATGGTCAAACGTTGCACAATCCAGGTGTGGAAAGCTCTTAGAGACGTACCCAGAAAGACTCACAGCTGTAATCGCTTCAAAAGGGGATTCTGACATGTATTGACTCATGTAAATGAGATATTTCTGTATTTCATTTTTAATACATTGTTTTTAAATTCTAAAAACATATTTTCACTTTGTCATTATGGGGTATTGTGTGTAGATGGGTGATAAAAAATATATATTTAATCCATTTTGAATTCAGGCTGTAACACAACAACATGTGGAATAAGTCTAGGGGGATGAATACTTTCTGAAGGCACTGTAGGTCCTTACCAGCTCCCTACTGTGAATCACAATGTTGGACAAAACAAATCACATAATCATGGGAACTCTTATCTGATCACACTAAAACAAACACTATTCTAACGTTTCATACTTTTTACATGGTAAAGAACCAGATGGTGATGTGGAAACTACTCACCTGTAAAGGTGAGCTGAGTCCCATTCCCAATCTCAAAGACATCATCTATCCACATTCCACAGTAATACAGGCCCAGGTCACTGTCTGTTAGGTTCCATATGGTCAGGTCAACAGTTGGCACAGCTTTGTTATATACAGGCACAAAGCGGCCACCAAAATGGGCGGTGGATCTTAGACTCTTATCCTGTTTTACAAAGGTAAAGGCGGCCAGCGACAGTGTGGTATTGGGATGCAGAACAAACCATATGATGTCGTATTTCACCTTGATATCACATTCTAGATTGATGGTGCCCCCAAGTGTCACCTGTTTGACAGTGGCACCAGCTGTAACCAGCACCCAGAGTAAAGCACCTGGAAAAGGAAGAGCATGTTTTAGCATGGGGCGTGTGTCCGCTTTATAGGGAATGTTATTACATCATTGACCAAACACTGACAGAAAATTCATGTGGCTCTATACTCCAGCTATTTGGATTTGAGTGATGAAAATATCCATCCATATATATACACTACCAGTCAAAGGTTTGGACACACCTACTCATTCAACGGTTTTTCTTTATTTTTACTATTTTCTACATTGTTCAATAATAGTGAAGACATCAAAACTATGAAATTACACGTATGGAATCATGTAGTAACCAAAAAATATATTTTGAATGATTTAACACTTTTCTGGTTACTACATGATAGATGTGTTATTTCATAGTTTTGATGTCTTCACCACTATTATTCTACAATGTATAAAATAGTACAAATAAAGAAAAACCCTTGAATGAGTAGGTGTGTCCAAACTTTTGACTGGTACTGTATATATATATATAGAGAGAGAGAGAGAGAGAGAGAGAGAGAGAGAGAGAGAGAGAGAGAGAGAGAGAGAGAGAGAGAGAGAGAGAGAGAGAGAGAGAGAGAGAGAGAGAGAGAGAGCAGTTTTTACCATCGTGGTCCCCCATGTTGGGCTAGCTTCCTCTCTACACTGTATGTAGGTCTTTGTTAACAAATACTTACGTATGATTGTTTTATAACACTTTACAGTGCTCTTATTATTATGTAATTAGTCCTGTAAGTACAATTTAAGTATTGCAATTACTCATTACACTGTAGGGTAGGTTACTGCTGTAAATTAGTGTAAATACAGTGTAACAATGAGAAATTACAATACTTGTTAATCTGCACGTACAGGTATAATTACACAGTAATAAGGGCACTATAATGTAAAGTGTTACAGATTTTTCCAAATGGTGGAACTAAATATATAAAGTGCTTTTATTCTAAATTGTCAAACTATTTGTCTCATTTTATTATTATATATTCATTATTTGATTTTCATAGACAATACTCACTTTTGATAATGAGAATCATCATGGTCCTCATCATGCGTTGTAACAGGAACAGCCTCCCAGTTCTCACTTACAGAAAAGCTTCTACTCAGACTTAAACATGAAATGAAAGTGTGTTGGGGGTGTGGTGGAGCACAATAACCATTTCCTAAAATGTTTACCCCTAGACATGTCAGCCAATCAGAAAAACACATTTAGAATGTATTTCTCAGAACAGGGCTTAGATTTACCTATCCTAAACGTTTTGACTCCAATTTAAATGATAGTTAAACTTTAACTATCACAGTGTACTTGCAAAAAAGTAACATTTAATGGAGGAATCTTGCAAACTTGAGAGCAGTTTTTTTTTTTTACGTTCTGATACAGTTTAAACCTTTGCTTGACTGGCTCTCGGTGGCCCTCTTTATTTCCTGTACCTGTGGTAGGTGGACTTGCTACCCACAGAGAAAAAAAAAGAACTTGTCAATGCATTCACATCCTTCTTTCAGCAACTGACAGGAAACAATGAACAAAAGAACAGCTCTAACAATTCTATGCTGTGAGTAGAAATGTATTTTATCCACTTGGGAGATACATTGTTTATATTTGATTAGGTTTAAGCACTCTCTGTTAATTTGGTTTAAAAAATGTAAATGTGTTATGAACATTTTATTTAAATAGCCTAGCCTTAGTCAATAATATGGTCTATGTTTTTATGAAAGGTTCCATGCTCTGGGAGGCTTTTGGGAGCGGGTCAAAATGAGATTCTAGTGAAACCAGGGGACACGGTCACCCTTGGCTGTGACATCACCCTGGAGTACGAGATCATGTGGTTTGTTCTTCGTCCTGATGCCACTCTTTCAGTGGCCATCACTATGAAGACGAATATACCTTTGAGCCTCAACAAAAAGTTTGATGTCTGTTTCGAGTCAGTGTATGACACAGCCCTGTTCAGAAGCAATCTGAGCATACTGAACATCTCAGAGAGCGACGTGGGTCTGTACTACTGTGCTGAGCAGAGGGCTAACATATTTTAGATCGGAAGTGGGACGAAGCTGTCCCTTATCAGTGGTGGTGAGTAAACTCTGCATTATGACTGCATACCTGTGGTTTTACATTGGGAGCGTTCTAAAAATGTCCACCTGGTCAATAAAGTTTAACCTCAGTCAATTCAGGATATGTATTTAAATTATAAATCTATACCAAAACACAGTTGGAAGAAACAAATGTAAGATTGATGTATTTGTCACAAGCTGTTATATGCACTTGGTTGTTTTCAATACAGTATGTTCAAGATTGTTTTTTGGTTGTGATAAATATGATCAAATCTGATGAAATCTTTATATTCACACACCAAGAAGGCTGTAAATGACAGTTTAAGTGTTATGAATGTTCTGTCATTTCAGATCAGCTCTCTACTACTGTTGTTGGGATGAAGTTGTCATGGTTTATCACCTTGATCATAGCCCCCATGTTCTCTGTGCTGGGGTCCGCTCTCTGCGTCTTCTGTTGACGACCTGTTAAGAAATCATTTGCACCCAATAATTATAATTTTCACACAGAATCAGCTTTCTGAAATGTATTTTTTAAATACTTATGTGGTGAACCTCACTGTCTGTCAAACAGGTATTGGTGTTATTTCCACATTTCATGAGGATTAAAAAAGAATAGCTGTTCTCTTATACTGTATTGTAGATCCTGTCAAAATGAGGATTCTGGAACAATTTGGTTGAAGTCTGTCATCTAGAGGACCAAGAGAGAGCATATATTATGGAGGAGGACCAACATGAATAAAATGTAAAGATACTGACAGTAAAACGTACATTTCTGGTGTTTTATAAAGTCTCCTGTGATACACTGGGCCAAACTTCTGTCTCTCCATACATCTAAGTAGGTGTCCACATTTGTTTCACATCTTTTTATTTTATTTGTGTTATTCCAGTATTGATTACCTGAGCAGAATGTTCAGGGCATTGGAGATAGAAATGTATTGAACAAGATTATTTTAGCCATACAATCTTAAATCATGTACGTCATATCTACCATTCCATACAAGGTCCAATTGTCATAAAAGCAGTGGCTTAACCATAAATCTGCAACTATAAATATTTTTTAAAAATCTGAAATTCAACAACCTGCTATGTTATATTCTATACAGTGCATTCAGAAAGTATTCAGACCCCTATAATTTTTACACATTTTGTTACAGCCTTATTCTAAAATTGATTAAATTATATTTTTTCCTCATCAGTCTACACACAATACCCCATAATTAAAAAGTAAAAACTGTTTATTTTTGCAAATGTATATAAAAAAATATAAAAAAACATCACATTTACATAAGTATTCAGACCCTTTACTCAGTACTTTGTTGAAGCACCTTTGGCAGCGATTACAGCCTCGAGTCTAATTGGGTATGACGCTACAAGCTTGGCACACCTGCATTTGGGGAGTTTCTCCCATTATTCTCTGCCGATCCTCTCAAGCTCTGTCAAGCTGGATGGGGAGTGTCGCTGCACAGCTATGTTCAGGTCTCTCCAGAGATGTTCGATCGGGTTCAAGTCCGGGCTCTGGCTGGGCCACTCAAGGACATTCAGAGACCTGTCCCGAAGCCACTCCTGCGTTGTCTTGGCTGTGTGCTTAGGGTCGTTGTCATGTTGGAAGGTGAACCTTCACCCCAGTCTGAGGTCCTAAGCAGGTTTTCATCAAGGATCTGTCTGTACTTTGCTCCGTTCATCATTCCCTCGATTTCTGACTAGTCTCCCAGTCCCTGCCACTGAAAAACATCCCCCCAGCATGATGCTGCCACCACCATGATTCACCGTAGGGATGATACCAGGTTTCCTCCAGACGTGATGCTTGGCATTCAGGCCAAAGAGTTAAATCTTGGTTTCATCAGACCAGAGAATCTTGTTTCTCATGGTCAGTCCTTTAGGTGCCTTTTGGCAAACTCCAAGCGGGCTGTCATGTGCCTTGTACTGAAGAGTGGCTTCCGTCTGGCCACTCTACCATAAAGACCTGATTGGTGGAGTGCTGCATAGATGGTTGTCCTTCTTGAAGATTCTCTCATCTCCACAAAGGTACTCTGGAGCTCTGTCAGAGTGACCAATGGGTTCTTGGTCACCTCCCTGACCAAGGCCCTTCTCCCCCGATTGCTCAGTTTGGCCAGGCAGCCAGCTCTTGGAACAGTATTGGTGGTTCCAAACTTTTTCCATTTAAGAACGATGGAGGCCACTGTGTTCTTGGGGACCTTCAATGCTGCAGACATTTTTTGGTACCCTTACCCAGATTTGTGCCTCGACACAATCCTGTCTCGGAGCTCTACGGACAATTCCTTCGACCTCATTGCTTGCTTTTTGCTCTGACATGCACTGTCAACTGTGGGACCTTATATAGACAGGTGTGTGCCTTTCCAAATCATGTCCAATCAATTGAATTTACCACAGGTGGACTCCAATCAAGTTGTAAAAACATCAAGGATGATCAATGGAAACAGGATGCACCTGAGCTTAATTATGAGGCTCATAGCAAAGGGTCTTATTTACATAAGTATTATGTTTTTTTTTCTCCATACATTTGAAAACATTTCTAAAAACTTGTTTTCACTTTGTCATTATGGGGTATTGATGAGGAAAAAAACTACTTTAATCAATTTCAGAAAAGGGCTGTAACATAACAAAATGTGGAAATAGTCAAGGGGTCTGAACACTTTCCGAATGCACTGTATAACAAAAAGACCCTGGATCCAAATCAGATAAGACATTATTCAAAAGGTTAGTTTATTAAACATTTATTAAAGTGTCACTCCACAACTGGTTGACAATACAAAATAGATTTGTTTTTTTAAACACATTGCGGACCACTCACAGTTGAGACACTAAAAGCAGTCAGTCAAACATTGCACAGTATGTCCTTTGGAGTCCTCTATAATACATGTTATCATAAATAACATCTATACACATGTACAGTGGTTCAGAGGACATTCAGGAACCTCTAAAGGTCTGATGGAGGATGAGAAAAGGCATTCATATCCTTGTCACCTGATCAAATGTAGCATTTCATTATGGCTGGAAAGTTGGCAAAAAATATCCCTAATTCTTCAATGGAACCATCATTACAAAAAGAACAGTCACGTTTATCTGAAGGGAATGTTTGTGTCGCCCAGCCTCAATAGCGAGAGGGGCCACTTCACATCTACATTTAGCAAAAATATTAATTAGATAACAGTACGTACGTAAGGTTCTGTCACAAAAGTGCACGTAAAAAAGGCAGTATGTGTGCAATTTGTTACTTTCAAATGACCTTCAGTATAAAATATATATATTGACATTAAATAAAATCTTTGATCATAAATACATATTAACTAGTCTTGCCAATACCATTATCATAAGTGGTGTAACCGTACAATATAAATACATGGTTTTCGTATCAGGCGTGATACAGTATAATAACGGTACAGTAAATTGTGCACATCAGTATAAACGTCTCCCTGAACAGGGAACATAGAATGTAATGCTGACAATGACCAACAGTTATAAAGGTTGAAGAAAATCAGAAGTACAGTAGTTGTACAGTAATGCTGAGGGTTTAAAGGGATAGATTAGGATTTTACACAGCTTATTGTCAGGTTCTTCACTCTGCCAGTAGTCTTTGGGCCAGGAGAAACAGTAATCCATGGTTCAGTTCTTTAAAAACAGCCACTACAAACTTCACCACTAGCTAACACTCAATAGAAGTGAATGAGGCATTGCAAATAAAACGCACTTTCAAAAAGATTCCACCGGAGCAGACCAGCAAAAAACATGCCCGAGTTTACTTTGATTGATTAGAAATACTCATCGCAAGCCTGCAGACAGGGCAAAATCATTGTTACTAAGGCTGGCTAGACTAAGACATCATTTTCATCATTCTGCTGTTTTGCTTTGTCCATTGATGCATTTTGATTTAGAACTTGGAGCTCGGCCGAGGGAGGTTCTTCGTTCAACTTTTTGCTTTTACGATTCCTGACCCATACTACTGCTACTACTACTACTACTGCTACTACACCTAGACATACTGGTACCAGCCAAGCAAGATGTTCAACAGATAGACCTGCAGAGACAGAAAAAAATAACTTATAGTACTAGATTATTTCCAGGTTCTAGCATTAACATATAAATTAACACAAATTGCCATACAATTAAACCCATGTTATGTAATGATTTCTCATGACACAAAATGACTTGATAGCACTACTGCATTGTTGTCACGATACTAACATTGACTTTGATATAATACTTATTGTGGTATTAGATATGCAATATGGTGAATAAATGCCTCAAAGTCAATGTACTGTACTGTATAAAACATGTGGCTAACACTCCATCTGATGAGCTAATGGGTATGCAGGCTTTTGTTACAGCCCTGCTCAAACACCAAATTCTGCTTTTCAAGGTCCTATTGTGCAGCTGTTTAGTAGAATCTGGTGTGCTAAAGCATTGACAAAACACAGCAAATATTACAATACTTAAAAATAAATAAAAGGCACACAAAAAAGCCCTAATTCCCACAGTTATAAAATGTTGGCTAGTATACTTTGAAGCAAAGTAATGTGATTAATATCTTATAAAGTAGTGCATGCATTCAGGTTTCAGGGGAGATATAGACATCATGGGGTTAATTTATAAATTTCCATGCGTTCTATATTGCTAATGTTCTCTGAATCATTGTAGGAAAGAAAGCAATCTCAGCAGCTTTCATGTGGTCCAAAACTTGAGTGAATGACACCAAAATTGACCGAATTATACTTTTACCAACGTAATGCACCCGCAGCACTGGAAAGTTGTTTAAGACATTATCTATAGTTGCCATGGCGTCGTAGTAGCGGCCTAAGAACAGAGCTCCTGTACATTTTCACATAATTTGTTGTTTTTAATTATTTTAAATTAGCTCTTTTGTTTTTGATAACATTGTGTTTTCATTGCATATATCCGGGGGGTTTTGAGCCACGGATTTGCAGATTGACTGACATGTTAACACTTTTTGGCTTGGCTAGCTAGCTAGTGTTTTTGTGTGAAAAATGCATCTGGACACAGTACCATCTTCTTGGTTTCATCTGGCTGCCAATTCCTGACCTTTTGACAACATAATTTGAGAAGTCGCCTGAAGCGTGAGAGGAATGGGAGATAGTGGAATCCAGCAGTGCTGAGGCAGAGGGCTCGTAGAGAGGACGACTGGCTAGTATCTGAACTTAGTGTGGTGAGCTTTCTGGCGCTCAGAGCTGCTGAGGCATCACCAATGTGAGTGCTACACAGAGTGGAAGAGGGTGAAGTCCAGTGGCAGACTTGCCCTCTACAAGATCATCAGCAGACAGCAGAGGTGCTCCCTTCCTGGAGATACTGCAATACCAGGTCGATGCGTGGAGTGAATGGAGTAAGCCCCTATTCCAGCTCCCTGTTCCAAAAACCTATTTCATATATGGTCCCCAGATGGGGGACGTATCAGATATTAAACTGACAGGAACAGATTTTTTATAACAGATACACTTGATCTTAGACAAAAGGCAGAGAAGCCAAAAAAGTTTAAAAGTATCTTGAATGTCAAACTAAATATGGCCAGAGGAGCCAGATGTGGGCATATACACAATCATACACATTCCAAAACGTATTAGCATATAAACCAGATCTGACACACTTCTAGCTCCTGATCGAGGTTGCAAAATAAATTACATTGTGATTTCCACAACTTTACTTTCTAGTTCTACATGACAGATCCCCAAAAATTACTTGGAATGTATTTGATTTCAAATACAAACAGAGCTCC